GCAAGACTGGGCCGGGGAGGGGGGGGGGGGCTGGGGGCCATCGGGTGGCTGGCTCGAGCCGTGCCAGGTGGAGAGTCTGCTGGCTGGGTTCTGGCAGGCTTGCACCTGGCACGGGCACCGTAGCCAGCCCGTGCCCCTTTAAGGAGTCCGGGGCCGGGAGGGGGGCAGTAGAGTTTTCCTGGTGTTGGCCACAGTGGCCACCAGGGAAAGCTGGGGAGGGCTAGCCTCCCACTAGTTCGAGTTAAGGGGCTACACACCCCTTAATTCGAACTAGTAAGTTCGAACTAGGCTTAGTCCTTGTGGAATGAGGTTTACCTAGTTCGAACTAAGCACTCCGCTAGTTCGAATTAAGTTCGAACTAGCGGAGTGCTAGTGTAGTGCCTATCAAAGTTAATTCGAACTAAAGTCCGTTAGTTCGAATTAACTTTGTAGTGTAAACATACCCATAGATGGGAGAAATTTCTTGGGTTTACTTACTGCGGAACTGTGGTGATCTTTAATATAGTCATACGTATTTTTTCAGTAAAGCCTGAACAATTTTGATATAACCATTATGCAAACCCAGTAATTCTTGCCTAAGTTATAAGAGCATCACAGCACTACTCAGTGAGGCCACTGTAGTGAGATCGTTTTACAGGATCTTTACTGACATGTTATGCTGTTTTCTGAAATAATTAAAGCTAGGTGGCATTTGTCAAATTACTGACAGAAGTGCATTGACTCATGCAATAGCCTTGCTCTTCCAGGGAATTGAAATTGGGATACAGACAAGTAAAATGACTTGTCCCAGACGCCACAGCAGGTTAACTGGCAGAGCTAGGACTCCCGACTTCCACTCTGATCTGACCACTAAACATATTTCCCCAGCATTCAAAAGTGACTGTTTCAGATCAAACACTGCAGATGAAATCACCTGGGAGATTCTTGGTGGTGATCCCCATTTCCGACATCTGGGGGCTTCTGCTGGGATGGTCTCAGCCCTTGAATTCCCATCTTGGGGTGAGCTGATTGGGGAAGGTAGCCATTTCTGTGCGTTGTGCAGTGTATTACAGTTTGGTGGTGTTGGGCCAACTTAGATTTATTTTAAAATACAGGGCTTTGAACATAGAATGTTCATGTGCCTAGAGGTTTGATTGTATCAAATAAACTCTAGTTCCTCTTTGATTTGCTTCAACCTCTCCTCTCCCTAAGCTGCTCGTTATTTTGGGTATGATTTAGGAGGATGGTCTATATCTGTGCCTCTTTCTTGATTTCAGTTTCTGTTTCTCAAGTCTTTTAGGTTCTGACACATATCTTCATTGTTTTTCCTTCATAGCCAGAAAACCTTATCCACTTCCTCTATTCAGAATGAAATTCCAAAGAAGAAACCCAAGTTTGAGGCTATCTCAGCCAATGGTGACAGGTGAGCCAGTTGGTTGGGGAAGATGCCAGTGGGTGGTCTCATTTAATTTTGCATGAGAGAGAGTTCAGTGCAACTAGCAGGATGTTTATATGGTAGAACGAGGCTCTCAAATGTTGGGACTCAAGGGCTGCCTTAGCAGCTTTCTGGGACCCCAAAGGCCAAACCTGCCTGGAACAAAAACGTACATTTGAAAATCAAAAGATGCCCAATGTTTGTACCTACTAGAAACGGTTGGTTGGTTGAGTTCACCAGCAATTCTGACCAGCAGCCTGGATTGGCTATATGCTCATGCTGCAGTGACAAGGAGCATGGCCACAGGATGCGCGATAGGGCTCTGTTTTGCAGTTCGGGTCCCTGTGGGTTAGAATGTTATCTATTGTAGAATAAAAGCGAGGCTGCAGTCAAAATAAAGGCTAGAATGCAGGGAGACAATCACGAGAGAAATATTGATAGGAATCTAAACACCCCCCTCCACCCGGGTCCTGGGGGAGGGAAAGTGAACTTGATTCTGCCACTGCTGTATGCATGCCACTTTCATTGACAGCAGAGCATGCATGCAGCAGAAGCAAACTAACTGTATCAGGAGAATAGTAACAGAGAGGTGTTAGTCTGATCTTGGTAAAACTAAAAAAGGGGGCATGTAGCACTTTAAAGACTAACAAGATAGTCTTTAAAGTGTTACATGACTGCTTTTTTGTTGTTGTTGTATCAGGAGAGAGTGAGATGGATTTTTTTACACTCTTGTACATGCATATTTTCATTCCTCCCTTTCCTCTCTAATTCTCAGCGTTCCTTCCTCTCCCGAGATGCTTTGCCCCCCTACCCAGAGTGCCCCGTCCGTGTTGGTGCAGTGGGCTGCTTCCCAACAGAGTCCCGGTGCCCATCATTATCCTGTTTCTCAAGGCACTGACGTCCTGAAGTGAGATCACCTATTGTTTTCTCCCCTGTTGCCTTCCTGCCCTGGGAATTGTCTCATATATGGAAACTCTCCCTATTGATGACTCTCCTTCCATACTGCATTGAATTGAGAATTCAGAGCACAGCATAGCCCATTAGTGCTGGGGGTCTTTTTAAGTGTGTTGAAGTCACTGGTAAATCGCACACTATCGCTCTCTATTAGTCACCATTTATCACCAGATCACCTCTGTCCCATTGTCTGTGGCTGCTGATGTAAGAAATGCCAAAGCTTGAAACTGAGGTTAAAGAATTCTTTAGGGTGCGTAGTACTAATTGACTGGAGATTGAATGCCACCTCTTCCTGGCTAGAACAGGTACGGCACAAGCAATAGCCATGCAAACTATCCTCTGCTAGTACACCTCAACCTTGACCTCCAGGGTGATCTGTTCAATCTTTGGCTCCTCTGCTGTGGCTGCCAACTGGGTTGTAGAGCAGTGTCGCTTGTGATAGTGTAACTTTTAAAATACCTGAGCACTAGGAGTGGGAGTGAGCGCCTTTAACTCATTTTGCGTAAAGTACCACGCAGCCATTAGCCAGTCACAACGCTTGTTCACACATGACTTGGAAGCTAAAAGGATCCAGGTCTTAATACCAATTCCCAAGTCATCCAATCAGAAAAGTCACAAATGATTAATAAATCAAATTACTTCATTTCAGTTTACTCTGGTACCGTATCTTGTCCTCACTTTAAAGCCCTGGTAGGCTGTGACCCTCAACAAAACCTACTGTGGTCGAGGGAAATCCCATTAATAAGTTGAAGTACTTATAACTACTTTAAGCTCCAACAATGGGCTCTGTACTGTCCAAGACACAAGTTGCAGCCATTTTAAGTACATGTGGCTCAACTTTGGTAGGACAACGGTAACACTTCATGGTTGGTAAAGTTTAATCCTGGGGCTGTAATTCCTTGGAGATGGTTTAAAAAAAAAAGTTATTTCTATGATGCAACTGCCCCATCTTTAGCTTAGGTGTGTGGCTCACAGAGAGTGTCACTGCATGGATGACCCCTTTGTACTAGAGCTGAGGGCAGTTGTGCTTTTATGAAGAATAGGCGCTGGCCTTGGGCTCTGTAGATTGCCAATGCCCGGCTTTCACATGGGCAAAACTTGTGTGTTCTTGGGCTGAGTGAAGTGGTAACAACCCCTTCATAGTCCAGCTTATCTCTACGCTTCACCTTTTGGGGGCTTTTCTTCCTGGTGGGTGCAGGTGGGAACTCCTCTCTTGCATTTAGCTGCGAGCTTTCTCTTTGGGCTTCATAGGTTCTTATTTAGTATCTTTGAGTTTATGATTCTCATGTTCTGTCCCATTTGTACTGGGAATTGTTGAGCGACATTTCAGTTTATTTTAAAATGTCCCATTCTGGAGTTTTTGTGGTTAATTTAGAGGGTGACTTCTCCTGTGCAGGGAGCAGAGAGACAAGACCTGGGAGAGCACAGGCTGAAGTTCGGTATGCTTCACCACCCAGCTCTGTCACTGCAGCTCACCACTGACCTGCCTTACAACTCTAACAACAGAGATCACGCAGTTTGCTGCTCTCCCACTCATAGGTCCCACACAATTCGGATGGTGTGTTCCCCACCTTGGCTAGAGCACCTCAGTCTGGTCCGCTGCACCCAGCCCTTAGTTTCTCTTGAATACAGGCTACCCAATGTGTGTAACCCATGTTCCCCCTCCCCATTGTTCTTTGAGGGTACACAGTCTAGGCTCCCCATGCTAGAACTGTCACCTCTCTTGGCCAGAGACCCATGTCTCTCTCCCTCCTGACTGGGGTTTCACCAGGCTGCACAGTTCCCTGTTTTTGCTGTGATTTCCCCAGCAATCCAAACTGTCTCACCAGGTCAGTGTCTGCATTTTACTCAAAGGGGAAGACATGATTGAGAAAACACATTAAAAACAATCAAAGAACCTATATGTATTCTCGTAAATTTACCAGAGATTACTGTGACTCCGGGAAAAATTGCTACGTGGGTTTTTGCCAGGGTTCCAAGTTCATAACAGAACTAGCATACCCACGGATAGTTCAGTCTGTTCTTTCCTTGGGCCTTTGATCTTGAGACTCTTGGAAAAGGTGATCAGCAGACCATGGTCCTCACCGGGGCATAGCTCTAAAAGGCGAGGGGCAGAGGGGGTTGCATTGCGGTGGCGCGGAATTTGCATTTATCTCCTGCTAGAGGTTCTCCCTGCAAACTGCTCGATACTGTTTGTCCCGAAAGTCCTTGCCTAGTTCAGTGGTTCTCAACCAGGGCACTGGGGGCTGCAAGTAGGTTTCCGGGGGGTCTGTCAGGCAGGGCTGCCATTAGACTTGCTTGGGCCCAGGGCAGAAAGCTGAAGTTCCACCAACTGGGGCTGAAGCTCAGGGCCCCAAGCCTGACCACCCAGAGCTGAAACCAACCCCTGAGCAACTTGGCTTTTCAGGACCCCCAGTGGCATTGGGTCTTGGCAGTTGCCCTGCCTGCTATCCCCTAACTCTGATTCTGGCTTTTATATGCAGAAAAACACTTTGATGAGGCACAGATAGGCTATGGAAACTTTCTAGCATGTTGTGGGGGCCTCAGAAAGAGAGAGGTTGAGAATTCCTGGTCCAGTCCATTGTTCATACAGTCGTTTGAAGTTCATAACATTCCCAGGGGTCACATCATCTGCCTCCCCAAGAGGGGTTACATGCAGTCCCAGCCCACAATAATACATTTTTGCATTTAATACAATGAACTCCCAAGTTACTTAAACTTAGATTTCCAGAAATCTAAAGTTCCTCACCAAAAGCTCTTAAGTAAAGTGAATTGTCATGGGATAAGAGGGGAAGGTCCTTTCATAGATTTGAGAACTGGTTAAAAGACAGGAAACAAAGGGTAGGAATAGAGGGTCCATTTTCAGAGTGGAGAGAGGTAACTAATAGTGTCCCTCAAGGGTCAGTCCTGGGACCAATCCTATTCAACTTATTTATAAATGATCTAGAGAAAGGGGTAAACAGCGAGGTGGCAAAATTTGCCGATGATACCAAACTGCTCAAAATAGCTAAGACCAAAACAGACTGTGAAGAAGAACTTCAAAAAGATCTCACCAAACCGAGTGATTGGGCAACAAAATGGCAAATGAAATGTACTGTTGATAAATGTAAAGTAATGCACATTAGAAAAAATCATCCCAACTATACGTACAATATGATGGGGGCTAATTTAGCTACAACTACTCAAGAGAGAGGTCTTGGAGTCATTCTCTGAAAACATCCACTCTGTACAGCAGCAGTCAAAAAAGCAAACAATGTTAGGAATAATTAAAAAAGGGATAGAAAATAAGACCGAGAATATCTTATTGCATCTATATAAAATGATGATACACCCACATTTTGAATACTGTGTACAGATATGGTTGCCTCCTCTCAAAAAAGATATATCGGCATTGGAAAATGTTCAGAAAAGGGCAACAAAATGATTAGGGGTTTGAAACGGGTCCCATATGAAGAGAGATTAAAAAGACTTGGACTTGTCAGCTTAGAAAAAGGAGACTAAGTGGGCTTATGGTAGAGGTCTATAAAATCATGATGGGGTGTGGAAAAAGTGAGTAAGGAAAAGTTCTTGTTCCCATTATGTAAGAACTAGTGGTCACCAAATGAAATTAATAGGTTTAACACAAACAAAAGGAAATTTTTTTCACGTAGTGCACAGTCAACCTGTGGAACTCCTTGCCAGAGGATATTGTGAAGACTAGGACTTTAGAGCTAGATAAATTCTTGGAGGTTAGGTCCATCAGTGGCTATTAGCCAGGATGGGTAGGAATGGTGTCCTTGGCCTCTGTTTGTCTGCAAATGGATGACAGGAGAGGGATCATGTAATGATTGCCTGTTGTGTTCCTTCCCTCTGGGGTATCTGGCATTGGCCACTATTGGCCGACAGGATACTGGGCTAGATGGACCTTTGGTCTGACCCAGTGTGACCGTTTTTGTGTTCTTATTTCATAGCTGGGAGAAAATGTCTCAATTATCTGTAGTATGATGTGAATGTTGACCTTGATTGTGTCTCTGGAAACATTATTACTAAAGTCAGGTAGTTTTACAAACAACTGAAACATCATCCCTGAGAAAAGGATGGGTCATAAGAAAAGAATAACACCCCCAAGATTTGGTTTTCTCTAAGGTTTGTGGGTATCATTGTTTCCCAGTTTGCATATGTCATGGGCATATTGTAGTTAGACTTCTTAAGATGCCCTTAAAAATGCTTTATTTTTTTGTAATTTAATTTTATTTCTAACTAGAAGACTCACCCGGCATTGTCCGGGACTGGCCTCGGGTAGAGGGAGCCATACAGACCACCTACTGGCTGCTCCCTGGAGGGAGAGGGGGCCAAGCAGGCTGCCCACCAGCTGCTCCCTGGGAGTGGCCCAGGGCAGAGGGGGCTGTGCCGACTGCCTGTTGTCCTCTGCTCCCCGGGGCTGGGGCGTTTGCTGCCCCTCCTATGGTCATTTGTCAGTATAACTGTTCCCTGTGCTTGCTGCCCCCCTGTGGTCATTCATGAGTCATGAGTATAATTGTTCCTACTATCGCACCCTTCCTTTTCTGTTTGATGCAAACAGTCACATTTCATGCACATCCCATTATCCTGACACAACTAAACCCTGACCTTTCTTTAAAGTTATGGTAAGAGGAAGCTGCATACCAAATGTGATGGTCCTAGCTCTGACCATTTAGGAGCAGTTCTTTAACAAACTCACTTTCAGATGGACAGACAAGTGCACAAACTCTCTCAAATATTGAGTAGATTTTTCAGCTAACTTTGTAGCTTCCACTCCTAAATTGAAGTTAGGGTTTGAGATTCACTCAAGACAGGGAAAAGAAACTCTTCTCTTATTGATGTAACTTTAAAAAAGTACCTTCTGGGTTTTTTTTCACCTTGAGGTAATTGGAGAGATACATGTTATTGCAGTTGGACCTCCAAGTACCTGATTATGCCCATGGGTCAGTTAAT